GGCATCTTCTATCCCTTCACTCCTAGTCTTATCTTCTGCAATTTTGGATGCATTTGTTTAATATTTCCGGTAGCATTGTTAGCCATGATTTTACTGACCTTCAAGAACGTAATTTGGCATGAAGAACATAACATACTATACAGTGGGCAAATCGACTAAATATATGATCATTCGAGTAGAACAATTAAATTCGAGTCATACGAGATTACTGTTCAGTCCCTGATTTTCGACTAATTTTATAACAATTCAGAAATTTAAGCTTTCAAATTGTTCGATAGTTAAATATTCCCAAATTCTAAATTGCGAATTACTCGATTATGCGAATATTCAGAATTATCTGGATTACCCATTTATACCACATATCATCATCACCTCCCCCCAATGGCGGCGTAGCAGGAGCTCCCAAAGCCTCGCCGCTTCTCCCTGGAGCTAGTAATTAGGCATCCTGGAGCCAAACACCTTCCAAGCACTAGGCTCTGGCTCCGCCCATTGCTCCGAACATTGTCTCTCCACAAATTGGTCTGAGCAGGGCCAGGAGACGGATGTGCGAACACAAGTGCAAGAAGAAGAGGTGAAAATGATAATCTCTTGCAATTCTCTGTGTCCTCGTAGAGATTCCTCTTACCTCCTTGACCTGAACATCATTATGCAGGTTAATTTCATATGATCATAACATCGTGATAACATCAGGCGCATTAAGACTGTTTGATATTCTCCAAATCACAAGCTTACCCAATATCGTTCGACCAGCGCTGGGTATTGTATTTGACTAATATGGTATCGATCTCCAAATCCTTAGGCAATACGATATGCCTTGTAAATAGTGTATGTTCATTATTTGCAACAAACTCCGACTCATTGTTTTTACAGAAATACATCTTGAGAAAAAATTTAAATCAGTTTTCCAGCTCTTTCTAACCCTAATGCTAATTCGAAACTTCACTAATGCTACCTCTTTTAAAATGGTGACCATAGATCATAAAATGTTGAACAAGTTCCTGCGACTTTCTCAGATCTATAGAATTCCCACGAAACAGTTATGGAAAGCCGTTACGATTTTTTTCCTGATTTGAAAATCTGGCTCCAATACGTCCAGTATATCTGCATGATGTACAATTCTACGCCCAATTACCACCTAATTTTATTGAACATATGATATTCTAAAGAAGCATAATGCCAATATCATCTTCTTCATTCTTTTTCTTTGTCTTGAGTTCGCACATCGGTCCCTTAGCCTTGTGCAGACCAATCTGCGAGCAGACAATGGACAGAGTCAGAGTCTAGCGCTTGGAAGGTGTCAGGTTCCCCCAGGATACCTTATTACATGCTCAGAAGCGGCGAGGCTTTGGGAACTCCTGCCTCCCTCTCCCTTCCCCTCCCCGCCCAATAAGCAGGTGTTTTGGACATGAACGAAGTCTCATTTGCGTCAAACGC